TGGGAACTCGTGTGAAAAGTATCCCATCTCCCCAGATAGGGCACAAGGCAGTGCATCTGAGTTCTCCATGAGCAGAACACATTCCCTCGGAAAGATCTGAAGACTTACCCACCCAGAGTCAAAATAATTATGGGTGAAAGATTACCTCATGTTCATTTATTATCACTGGGGGATATTGTCTTAAATGTGTTTGCCTTTCTGTAACTGACCTGAGTTCTTGGCCTCTTTATTCAACAGAAATTTATAAAAGGCCAGGTGATAAATTCAGGCACGGCTTTACTGGGCCTCCTGATGCAGCACAGGCGAAAGCGGTAACAGGCGCCCTTGCTCGCTCCTGGGGGTGAGGGGCAGGGGGCGGGGTCAGGTAAGAGGGCGGGCGCGGATTGGTGGGCCAGGATGGAGGGCGGGCTTACCCGCCCTGTCCACCCCCTCAGTGGTGCTGTGTGCGGGGCTGGAAGCAGTCTGGGAAGCAGGCAGTACCTGCTTCTGCTCTAGCGCCTCAGAAGTGGCAGTTGGTTTGTGGCCTTTTTGAATCTCACTGTTCATAATTTGCTCCAACTGCACCTGGCCTGTGTAAGGTAAGTTTTAGGCCCTTACATTCTGTTGCTGCAAGAGACTTTGTCCAGGTGCAAACACTCCTGTGAAGGGTCCCAGGTCCCAGCCTATCTCATTGCCTAGATATGTGCACAAGTGTTAAAATCATACCAAGTGATTTCATACCAAATGAAAGCAGGAAGTCTTGTCTTTTCTTTTTTTTTTTTTTTGGTATTTGCTGGCTGTGAACGTAAGCCTTTGTTGTTGCTGCTGCTGCTGCTGCTAAGTTGCTTAAGTTGTGTCCGACTCTGTGTGACCCCATAGACCGGCAGCCTATCAGGCTCCTCTGTCCCTGGGATTCTCCAGGCAAGAACACTGGAGTGGTTTGCCATTTCCTTCTCCAAAGCCTTTGTTAGCAGATTAGAAAAGAGAAAAATGGTTTTGAAAATACTCCATATCAGTGAGCATGAATTGAACATCGTCTTATTTTCACTGTAGTGGGAAGACAAATGAGTAAAATTTTTCTAGAGGCTGTTTTGTAATATGTATCTTAAGTTTAATACACATACGCTCTGCTCTTGGACCTAGCACTTCTAAGGATATATAACGAGGAAATCATAGGCATGTGGGGTAAGTTAGATCTACAAAATTTTATCATTATTTATAATAGCCAAAAAAGAAAATAAATATTTTTCAATAGAGAGTTAGTTCAATTATAGCACTTCATGGGAGGAAATATTATGACACTATGTAAAAGGATATTCATGTTCTATTTACATTGGCATTGAGAAATATTCATCATTTACTATCACTCCATGAGAAGATTACAGAATGATGTGTAGCGAGTGGTGCCTTTTTTATCTAAAATAAATATTTATGGATGTTTATTTTGAAGTCAGATTATACACTTAATTGCGTTTAGAGTGGTTATTTTTTTGTGGGAGGGAGAGAATACCCGGGCCTCTCCAGTACTAATCTGTGCATTTCTGTAAGATTGAAAATTTTACATCAACTTGTATTGCTTTCATAGTCAAAGGAAATAGTAAAGATGTTGACATCCTGAAGAGCAGAAGAATATCCCTTGGGCAGGCAGGACAGTACTGGTCTTTATGCAGCCCTTTTCTCTTCCTGGAGAGCCTGGGTAGCATTAGATGGAAGTGTGCCATGAGAAGTCTCAAACCCATCTCATAACTTCCTCTGCAGTGAGAAGGCTGCTCACGTCTGGCATTGTGGCTCAGGTGTTCCCACTGCATGACAATGAGGCCCTGAAGAAGCTTGAGGATGCCTGGTATACTCGATTTACCTTGAAGTTTCAGCCCATAGGTACGTGTCAGTGCCTGCTCTCTCAGAGGAGGACACAGCAGTTGGGGATGTCCTTCTTGGGTGGGTAGGACTGCTGTGATGGGCAGGACTCAGCAGCTGTGTGGGCAGAAAAAATGGTGAGGAGGATAAGGTGGGTTGCATGATCTATTTGTTTTATTCTTAATATCATCTTAGATGAAGTGAATTACAGACTTTTATTAAATGTCACCAATGTCACGGACAGTCCAGAGTGGCCATCCTGAGCATGTGTCTGATTTGTTGTAGAACATAGTTTGTAAGAATTCACTTTGACCATGAATATTTCGTATTTGAAAGTTGCTGTTTCTTTAGAGCTAATTATTTGGAATGGGCCAAGCTCTGCTCATTCTTAGCAGCAGACTAGCAGGCCTAAGCATCTTTTGAGATAATTCATAAGGATCTTGGTGTGCATTACTGAATCTGTCCATTTTGTCTCAAGACACTAAGAAGAATAACCAGTAATTTATTCAGTGGATGTTGAACATTATTCTTTGTAAACTTATGTCAATATGAATGTTCAAGGTTTGTGGTTTAGTGATTTTTTTAAGTGTAAAGATTATATTTAAGCTGGTAGTTTTCACCATAAGTATTACTGTCAGTTTTTCTTTAAAGAACATTGCCTTTTTCTCTTTAAGGGAATTCCTCTAAAATTTTTAAACCCATCTCATAACTTCCTCTGCAGTGAGAAGGCTGCTCACGTCTGGCATTGTGGCTCAGGTGTTCCCACTGCATGACAATGAGGCCCTGAAGAAGCTTGAGGATGCCTGGTATACTCGATTTACCTTGAAGTTTCAGCCCATAGGTACGTGTCAGTGCCCGCTCTCTCAGAGGAGGACACAGCAGTTGGGGATGTCCTTCTTGGGTGGGTATTTAATGCTATGATGGGCAGGACTCAGCAGCTGTGTGGGCAGAAAAAATGGTGAGGAGGATAAGGTGGGTTGCATGATCTATTTGTTTTATTCTTAATATCATCTTAGATGAAGTGAATTACAGACTTTTATTAAATGTCACCAATGACACGGACAGTCCAGAGTGGCCATCCTGAGCGTGTGTCTGATTTGTTGTAGAACATAGTTGGTAAGAATTCACTTTGACCATGAATATTTCGTATTTGAAAGTTGCTGTTTCTTTAGAGCTAATTATTTGGAGTGGGCCAAGCTCTGCTCATTCTTAGCAGCAGACTAGCAGGCCTAAGCATCTTTTGAGATAATTCATAAGGATCTTGGTGTGCATTACTGGATATGTCCATTTTGTCTCAAGACACTAAGAAGAATAACCAGTAATTTATTCAGTGGATGTTGAACATTATTCTTTGTAAACTTATGTCAATATGGATGTTCAAGGTTTGTGGTTTAGTGATTTTTTTAAGTGTAAAGATTATATTTAAGCTGGTAGTTTTCACCATAAGTATTACTGTCAGTTTTTCTTTAAAGAACATTGCCTTTTTCTCTTTAAGGGAATTCCTCTAAAATTTTCTTTTCTTCCAATTTCCATTTCTGAAAACGGTCATTATAATATTGTCATAATGAGCAAAAAGTCATTTTAGGGTCCAATTTTAAAATTGCATTTTGAGTTTTTACTTGAATTCTTTGAAAGGAAAAATGTTGATACTTCCAGGTGATGTAAAAATCATTTTATGTTTCACTTATACGATGTTTCTTCACTTTGTTTAGCCTTTAAGTGGCTGTAAATTTAAATATTACTTCTAGGTCTTGTAAGTAACAGTCTCCAGTAGCTATATCTTAGAAAGCAAGTGAGGAAAAGTGAGTTGATGGTGAAGGCTGAGCACAGGTGTAGTAGTGGTCTTGAGGCCTCTGGGAGAGCTGGGGCTCAGAAAGATCTTGAACTTGTCCTGAGATCAAAAGAGAGCTGGTTTGATTTGGAGCCGAGGCCCATGAATGTCTTATTTTTTTTTTTTAAATTGCTTGGGTCTCTTTTAACCTGATTCTCATTTGAGGTTAGTTTGTCATACCATCGTTGTTTTGTTTTTATTTTTATTTTTTTAATTTTAACATGCTCCTGAGTTAATAGGAGAATTAAAGATAGGGGAAAAACAGTGTCTTTGTTTAGTCTGAACCATCCCTATAGACTGATCTGATACATTATCTTAAAACACTGTGTTTTTCTTTTTTTTAAACTGCATGTAATTAACCAAGAATTCTAATTCTGACTATTACATCTCCCTTACCGCCTGCATCCCACCTGGTCCCAATGCAGGGCGCTTTTGTAGTCTAAGAACTCACCCATGTAGATGTGGCTGACAAAGGACACAGTGTTTGTGACCTCTTTTGTGTTAGTTAGCTTGTGTCAAGTTCACAGACAATTAACAGTGATGTTGCTTGGCCCTTCTTCTGCCCAGTGGGTGTATGAAAGTTTAGATAAATGTGTTCCATGGCTGTTCTAGAAGTTAACATGTACAATATTGTTCATGCTTTTGAATAATTTTTCTTCAGGGTATTGAAAAGTTTGCCATGCCACATTGATGAAAATATATAGCTTTGGGTAGCGGGGGGGAGCAGGATACTATGGATGGGGAGTCTTCTTTGAAAATAACCTCTATTACTCTAAAGTATTAAGTGTGAGAAAAATGGGGACCATAAAATAACCCCCCAAATTAAGATGGTTCATTGGCTGTGAGACTTCCTGGTGGTCTAGTGGTTAAGACTATGCATCCACTGCAGGGGCCATAGGTTCCATCCCTGGTTGGGGAAGTTCTGCATTCTGAGAGGTATGGCCAGTAAAAAAATAAAAAGATGGTTCATTGGCCATGGCTGAATTTAAACTAGGAAACTTGGAGATTTGGGATGAGCCCAAGGTGAGTTTTTCCTTGTGAAGAGGGCATCATCAGTGAGGAGGTAAAGAGAAGCAGACCCAGGATGGCTGACAGAGCAGCCCCAGGAGCTATGGCCTGAGCCTGAAGCCCAGGGAGGTGTCAGGCTTGCTCTGCAGACAAGTGGGACCTTTGTACTTGACGGAGGATGAATTTACCATTACCCACTGATTGGGAAATAAGGTTGTTAAATGATCCCCACTTAACTAAAGTGAATAAGCTTACTTGAAATGATTAAAAAAAAAGTTCTTCAGCAGTCTGTGCTAACGGCCTTTTTTTCCCCCTTTGATTGTAGACAGAATTCGTGGCTACTTTGGAGAAACCATCGCTCTTTATTTTGGCTTTCTGGAGTATTTCACGTTTGCCTTAATCCCCATGGCCATCATTGGGTTACCTTACTACTTGTTTGCATGGGAAGACTATGACAAATATGTGATCTTCGCCTCGTTCAACCTGATCTGGTCCACGGTGATCTTGGAAGTGTGGAAGCGAGGCTGTGCCAGCATGACCTACCGGTGGGGTACCCTGGTCATGAAGAGGAAGTTCGAGGAGCCCCGGCCGGGGTATCACGGAGTCCTGGGCATCAATGCAGTCACTGGCCGGGAGGAGCCGCTCTACCCCAGCTACAAGAGACAGCTGCGCATTTACCTGGTCTCCCTGCCCTTCGTGTGCCTCTGTCTGTATTTCTCTCTGTTTGTCATGATGATTTACTTCGACATGGAGGCCTGGGCCTTGGGTCTGCACGAGGACAGCGGGTCCGAGTGGACCAGCATCTTGTTGTATGTGCCCAGCATCATCTATGCCATCGTGATCGAGGTCATGAACCGCCTCTATCGATACGCCGCTGAGTTTTTAACCTCATGGGGTAAGACTTGACGCTTTGTATTTATGTCTTATCTGCCTGTAAGAAACATTGCTTCTATCATAGGATTCTTAGAACTACTACCTGGCAAAGCAGATAGATGTTGCTCTGGGCTCGTTGTATAGACATAAGGAGAAGTTCATGGGCTCTGGCGACTCCCATGATCTCCAGGTCACGGTTCTCAGAGCTCTGATGTATCATTAGTTACTATGTTCTAGGTGCCTTGCTAAGCACTTTATCCATAGTTCCTCATTTTCCCTTCCTCAAGGCACCATGAAATAGAAGTTATTTCACAATTTTGTGGAGAAAGATACTGAGCGTTATCAAGGTTCAGACAGCAAATGGCAGAGCCAGGCTTATCCAACCTGTGCTTCTCATACTATGTTGTGTTTTATGCTAGGGATAAGATTGACTGAATCATCACCGTATTCTGTGTCTAGGATCTGAAAACCACTTGTGTAATTGTGTGGGGCACAGGCCTGCCATTGAACTCAGTGAAGGAGGCTGTTCTTGTCTGTCTGTGTGGTAAAAGATGAATTTGGTTATAGTTTAAAAAGGGTCTTGATAGGCAGTTTTCTCTTTAATTAATTTATTCAGTCAAACAAATAAATATGCTATTAATATATTAACCCCTAGGAAGAAGTCTAGGCCTGAACTTCTGGACCATACAGATATTTTAAATTCTTTATATTAGTTATATAACAACAGACACTATTTATTTGGGACTTCTCTGGTGTCTCAGACGGTAAAGAATCTGCCTGCAAAGAATCTTCCTGCAATGCGGGAGACCCGGGTTTGATCCCTGGGTCAGGAAGATCTCCTGGAGAAGGAAACGGCAACCCACTCCAGTATTCTTGCCTGGGAAATCACACAGACAGAGGAGCCTGGCGGGCTACAGTCCATGGGGTCTCAAAGAGTCGGACACGACTGAGTGACTAACACACACCATTTATTTCTTTTTGCTCTCATAAGATTTTTTAAAAAACTTTTATTGGAGCATAGTTGCTAGCTACTATTTGCTGAGTGCTTTCCTTGAGCTGAGCTGTGGTTTTTGTAGTATTTCTAATCCTGACAGTAACCCTGGGAGAAGGGTAGCGTCAGGCCTGTTTTGTAGGCAAGGAGGCTGAGTGTCAGGAGGTTAAGTAACTTGCCCAAGGTCACACAGTGACTAACTGCCTGAGTTTAGGTTCAAATCCAGGTCAGCCTAACATTACCTCTCTGTGCAAGGTGATACTTCTGTTCAGAATCTGCCTCTTTTGTCCTTTTGCCCTGCTGTGGTGTCTCAGCAGTAAAGAATCAGCCTGCCAATGCTGGAGATGCAGGTTTGCGCCCTGGGTCTGGAAGATTCCTTGGAGAAGGAAATGGCAACCCACTCCAGTATTCTTGCCTGGAGAATCCCATGGACAGAGGAGCCTGGCAGGCTCCAGTCCATGGAGTTGCAGAGTCAGACACATCTAAACAATAGTAACAACTTGGGACCTGCACAGTGTCTCTTTTTCTGAGGATGGAAACTTGAGTTTCCTTTTAAATTAATCCTTGTAAATTTGATTCCTTGCCCTACGACTCTTCAGAGGTTGCTCTCAATTTTACTATCACTGCTCACACAGTCTTTTCTGGTGGCTGTGTGTGGGATCATTTCTTTGTTGCATTAACATTTTAAAAAATAATTTCAGACCACAGTGCTATTTCAGTACCTCGAAAAATGTGTCTGTAGTTTATTTGTTGTTTGATGTTCTTGGTGGGAAGCCGTAGCCGTGATTGGCTGTCTAGTGCGGTTACTGACTGAGGCTCTATGGTTGGACATGGCTGCCCTCAGCACAGGCTTCACCTCACCTCATGACAACTCCCGTTCTGCTTTCTTATCTGAGAGACATTACTTCTCCCTTTTAATATTTTAGAGAATCACAGATTGGAATCTGCCTACCAGAATCACCTAATTCTGAAAGTGTTAGTGGTAAGTAGAACTTTTATATACAGATCCATTGTAATTATGAAACTAGTGTATACTGTTTAACATTTAGGACTATAAATATGAAGACTTGATTGTAATTTAAAATATCAGGTGATGGTAGTTAATATACTTTGTCCAGAAAGGCAAGGATTGATTAATAAATATATTTATATACACACTCAGCAGTCTTATTACAAATGTGTCCATGATATAAGACTTTAAATATAAAAATTAGTATTATAGCCAATTTCCAGTTGTTTGAAACACTATAGACATGTTTCTATTATTTTCCTTTTTTTGACTCAGGTTTGAATGTTTCATTATTCACCAATCTTTCCAGTTATCCACCTACTATTTAGTGATAGAGTGCTAAATTATTATTTTTTAAAATTTTGTCTAAGGAATTTCCAAAGTCCAAGAGGTTTCTAGCATGTTTTGAAGGGCAGGAGGAAAGGGATGGAGGGTAAGTACTGTGTAACCTGCTTGCTGCTTATGTAAAAGCTCACAATTATGCCTCTTCCCACCATTGTTAGAAATAAGAAAGAGGTGGCTTGAAAGCACCTTATGTGTCAGGAGATTACCTCAGCCATCTGTAACATAGCTGAGAATCAAGAAAGGTGCATAAAGAGTCCTCTGAACTCTGCAGTTCTGCACTGGAATTGATTTAACACAGTCCGTGTACTTTACTCCCGAGAGAGGAATCCAGGCCCTCGCTTAGAAAGATTCTTTGTTCCAGCTCCAGAAGTCATTCTGAGAAGCTTATTTATCTGGTTTTTCCATCCTTAAAGGATCAGAAGCCATCATTAGGAAGGTGATTAGGTTTCTGCAAGTAGGTACATTTATAGAAGCAAGAGTAGGGAAGGAAATAGAAAACCTCTCATGAATAAGTAATGAGACTTCAGCAGCTTTAGCAATTTGGACATTAGAAAAGGGGCAAGCAGCCATCTGTATCTAAAAAGGCTCTGAGGGCTTCATTCTAGCCCTGTAAAATAATTCAAATGTTGGTGCTGACTCAGCAAGGATGTTACGTTCTGTTTGTCTGTGTGAGAATGTGAACACAGAAATGTGTGATGCATTAAAAGATTCTTTGAAAAGATCACAAAACAGAGCTCTTGCCCTTAGAGGTAAAACACCCCATTTGTCTTAAAGAATTTAGCCATTTTTAAGACCAGGTTACTCTCTGTTGCTGCTAGATACAGTGACAGGTGACTATCTTATAAAAAGACTCACTCCTGAGAGGCTGCTCATCCTCTCCTGTGCGTGTTAGGTCTCTCTCTTCCCTTTTAATTTGTTAAAAAAAATTTTTTTGGGGTGGGGGTCCATGTCACTCTCCGTGTGGGATCTTGGTTTCCTGTTTCCGGACAAGGGGTCAGACTTATCCCCCTGCATTGACAGTGTGGAGTCTTAAGCACTGGACCTTCAGAAAAGTCCCACTCTCCCTTCCTGTTTAATCTTGTGGGGAGGATGTTTCTCAGCCTTCCGAGCTTTTGCTGTTCTACTTCTACTGTAACTTAACACCCCCACCCCTACCCCTGCCCCACGTTATGTCACTGCTCACTCTCTGCATCGACTCCCCCTTCCGTGGTAATGAAGTGCTCGCACTGCACACAGCAGTCTTCTGTCTCAGCAGCGTTGGAAAGCCAGAAGTAGCCAGCGTGGAGCTGGGGGACAGGAAGGAATCTCGAGTGTCCGGAGGTGGTTGCAGGTTCTTGAGCAGGTGAACTAGTGGAAGAAATGGCACCTGTTGGGGGCTTCCCTGGTGGTCCCGTGGGGAAGACTCCACGCTTACAGTGCAGGGGGCATGGGTTCCATCCCTGTTCAGGGAACCAAGATCCCACACGCCCGCATGGCGCCACCAAAAAAAAAAAAGGGAAATGGCAGTTGTTACGGTGGGATCCCCACCCCCACTTCTACACCCCCGCCCCCTGGACCAGGTGTCTGGGCAGGGCAGTCTCAGGCCCATGGCGACAAAGATGCTACCCGGCTGGCTGCTGTGGCTCGTCTCTCTTGCTCTTGCCACTCGGCTTCCTAGGTGTGCCTCTGGGAGAGTGGGGGTGTCTTAGATTCCTGGGGCACAGAGAGGCTTCCAGGGCTGGGCTGCTTGTTGGGTTGGGTCCCTTTTTACTGGGTTCTGACCCCTCCATCCAGGTATCTTCTCTGTGGGGTGGGGAGTGGCAGGCCTGGCAGGGCAGAGAGGAAGGAGAGCACATCCCCTGGCAGCTCATTGTTAGCGACGCTGGGCTTGCCTGTTGTAGGACTCCTATTCTAAGCAGGGTGGGCAGGGACTGTGCCTCCCTGGGCTGCCCAGATTACGAGGTTGGAGGTGGGAGACACTGAAGTCTCTTTTCTAAGAAGTAATAGGGACGTAAGATGTACTGATGCTGTGTAGTCCTCTCAGCACCTTTCCGAGTTCCGCTTTGGTCGTGTCTCAAGATATTTCTGGAGTTCGTAGGTGTGCTTCCTGATGGGGGGCGTAGGAGAAACAAGTCTTTGCCATCTTGTTGGGACCAGAAGTCCCTCATGACGTCTTTAAATGTGATATTTACAGTTGTGTCGTGGTCTGTATGTGTTGGGAAAAGAATTTCCAAACAAGAGGCAGAATGAGAGGAAAATAGAGTTTATTAGAGCAGGAACAGCGGGTCGGCTTAAGGGAGAGAAGATGGTTTTCCTGGGTTGGTAGCCAGTCTTTACAGCCTCAAGACAAAGAAAATACCTGCTAGAAGGGTGGCATTAAGTGATTGGTTAGGGTGGGTATTTTTACCTAATAGGGGTTAGGGAGCTGGCCAATTTAGATCAGAAAGGCTCATGGCCATGGTTGCTATGGGGCTTGCTCAGTTCCAGAGATGACCTTGGTATGGGGTGCTGCATCTGTGGCCTTGGTATAAGGCTCCACAAATTGTAATAAAGTTCAGTGACGCAATATTAAATATTGCTCTCCCTCTCTCTCTCTTTTTTTTTTTTCGGCAGTTCAACTTTCTGAATTGCTTTGCCTCACTTTTCTACATTGCCTTTGTCCTGAGGGATATGAAGCTTTTGCGTCAGGTGAGTGTGAAAAACAGAAGGTATCAATTTTTTTTGATTTGCAAGGTGGTTTCATATAGTATAGTAATGTAATGGTCTTCCCCTTATTATCTTGACAAAATTATTAAATTTTGTGTATTTCTAAGCTCAGTCCTAAAAAAAAACGATTAGCAATTGCACTATGTATTGTGCTCAACTGGAAAGAAATTAGTTGAAGCTAACCAAAGTGCAAAATTAATCATTTAGGGCACTAAAATCAAATATATAGTTCATACCAAAACTTGTAAAAGCAATTTTAACAGCAAAAAAATGAATGCATCAATTGAACTTTTATGTGTGTCTCAGGGTGGGGGTGATTGGTATAACCTTAAGTAGGTCTTCCACATTTCATTTTTAAACTAGTAAGTTGTTAAACTTTGCAGACCAGCAGATGCTATGCAGTGTTGTATCATTTCTGAGATATTTATGAAAGTCTGACATATATTTTGTTGTGTTACCATTTCTGGATCTCATAATCATAGTGAATAATAAGTATAAATTATTGCTTTCTAAATTCCCTCTCTCTCTCTCTTTTTAATACTTGAGCCACCTACCTACCAGTAAGGGCTGTTCTTTTCTGGTTTTGATATACTGCGATTGTTAGCGTCTCAAAGTTTAGGTTTCTTAATCTTTATATGAGAGCTTGGGATCATTTTTCAAGAAATTTAAAAATGTGTATAACATAGAAAGTTAAAAAGATTTTGCAGTTACAGTTCTAAAAGCTGACATAAAAGTAAAATACTGTGTTCCTATTAACTATACTAAATATAATGCTACTTTTACAAATTATTTTTGAAAATAATGCATTTGGAATCAATAGGTTAAACATACATACCTTCTCCAGTCCCACCATTAGTGTATTAGTGAGATATGACCCCTTATTTCTTATACTTTTGAGAGTCTCCTTTATTTAACAGGGGATGAGGGGCAGGAAAGAACTCTTTAAAACAAAGAATTTTAATATCAGCAAAGGTGGTTTGTGATGGAAACACTGATTCAGCCTACCTGGGAAGAATGGAAATTGACACAATACCTCTGGAAACCACTTGAGTAACTTTCCTAAGAAACTTATTCCATTCCTAGTAAATCACCAAAAGTGGGATGAAGATTCATGCATGTAGGTGAGGAGCAGCACTTATAACAGTGGGAGTTGGACATAGTACTTACATTCAACCACAGTGCATGGGCTAGTAAAAAAGAATTATTCATGACATGGGAAAGTGCTCACAGGTTAGTGAGAAAAGAAATCTGCAAAGCTCTATACATACAGATGTTCTACTTTTTACGTGTGATTAGGAAGAAATACTTAAGTAAGATGTTAGCAGTGGTTCTGACATGGTTGTGCAGTTAAGGCTGACTTTTTTTTTTTAAGTTTTTCTACAGTGAGGGAGGATATATTAATTTTGTAGTAAGTTCTGACTAAACTTTCGAAAGGAGAGAACATCATTTCAACTCACATGAGACTGTAAAAAACACAATTTCAATTTAATTTGTTGTCCTCCCAACTCATAACCAGTTTTCTATTATAATCTTATTTGTATTATACTCTTTTTGTATTTTAGTCTGTCTGTCTTGTGAAGAAACAGTAAATTAGAAACATCATTCTAACACTTAGCTTTTCTTTATTTTTTTTTATACCTGGCTTTTCTGATACTAGTTTTTATAACATAATAATACATTATTTGTTAAGATTCTTTTTTTTTTTTACTGCATAATTGTACACATGCTTTGGTTTTGTTCAGCCACATTGCCAAATATCATTTATGTGCTTCTCTTTAGAGCTTGGCTACTCTCCTGATCACCTCCCAGATCCTTAACCAAATTGTGGAATCTCTTCTTCCTTATTGGCTCCAAAAGAAGCACCATGTGCGGGTGAAGAAGAAGGTGGAAGCTCTAAAGGCAGACATCGATGCTACATTATATGAACAGGTCGTTCTGGAAAAGGAAATGGGAACTTACTTGGTAAGTTTGGATATTGCTGAATTAAACATTGAAAGTGAATAATAGCAGTCATGTCCAGACTGTATACAACAAATATGTACATATTCATCGTCTCAGGTATGACTGTTCTGTAAGTGCTTTCCAGCCAGTTTCCTTACCATGAAGTACTTCACAGTTAAAAAGATGGAAGAGTGTGTCAAGATGCTGCTGTCTTGAACCTGAAGTTTATGCCTAACATCCAAAGGATGAGTCCCATGAATTGTGAGGCTGCTGTGCTGAGGGTGGTGGGGATGTTTCCAAGATGGCAGACCAGGGGAGAGGCAAGACAGCCGTGGAACCATTGTGTGCTCTGGATGCTTTGTACTCAAAAAATGGAAGCCCATTGCTCACAGTGGAAGGCCACTTTTCTCTTGTTAATAATAGGTAGATAAAGCTCTGTGTTGTTAATCACTTGGTGTCTAAAGAAATAAGATTCAAGATTTTTCTATTCAGAGTCTTTCTGTTACTCAGCATGGGCTCTCGGATGTGAAGTGAAGGAAGCAGTGTACTAATTTCCCTCCCAGGCAGTGGGTCTGTGAGTGAACGCTGGGGTTCAACAGTGTTTCTCCTGAGTATCTTAACTTGCTTGCAGGGTCCTGCATTATCTGACCATTCTTCCCGCCTCATCTCCTACAAGTTCCTCCTTCACTCTCTTTACAAGATCGACATCAGATATTGCTCTCTCCATTTATTTGGAAATGGGGTTGTGCTTTGGGGATGCATTTGTTCTAGATTGTTGTTCGCTATGCACTCATCCTTCCCCCCAGGTACATTGGTTCCTCACTGAAGCCAGTGAGCTTAGAATTGTGTTTTCTGCAAAATCTTCCTGAGTGCTACATGTGAATCTGAAACAGTGTTGCCAAGCTTTGGGAAAAAGGAGTTTGACTGAGACTAAAACATTATTCCAAAGAGTTAATACTTGCTTACTCACTGTAGAAAGCTTGGAAAATGTGAGACAGAGTATAAGGAAAAAGAAATCCTCCATAATGTCTCCACCAGAGGTCATCCACTGGGGTCTCCTGACCCAGTTCTTCCAGTAACAGGGCCAGGGCTGCGTAGCCCCTCAGATCTCACTGTGCACTGCTGTCCCACTCCTGGGAGCAGTTCATATCCAACCACATAGCTGCGTGAGGCTGAGTTTTCATGGTGAGTATTCCAACCAGAATACTGTACTCACATAGAGCAAACGAGCTGCCTTCTCACGAGCTAGGCATCAAAAATGTGTGCCAAAGATGTAAGTGAGCACCACCCTCCACACTCAACATTTTTTATTTTGGAAGATGTAATTATTTTTCAAACAATATTTTATTTATGTTAATATGCTTTTTATTATTAAAATGAGTCAATGAGAAATATTTTTTCAGTTCAGCTTTTTAATTTCTAACACAGTAAATAATGCTAGGTATAATAACTTTTCGGAACAAAAAGTCTTTGATGTCATCAGTGATTTTAAAGAGCTCAGGGCTTTGGAGACCTGAAGGTTTGAAAACTGCAGATCTAGAGTAATCCCCCCCACCTTTTTGTTTTTCAGAGCATGAATTTTGTGAAGCCAGTTTGTCCCGTTGTTTCCCCCCGCCGAGATTCAGGTTCAGCAGTTTTGGAGGTGGACCTCCATTAGGGTGGGGAGTGGGTTGCTCCATGTGTAGCGCTGCCTTGTTAGATCACATGACTGACCCGGTGACAGACAGTTTGGAAAGGTTCTTTTTTGCTTAGGTTCTTTTGCGCTTTGCATTGACTAGGTCATCTGTGATAGATACTGAGACTCTCCCATTCCCTACAAATGGTAGTTCTTTAAAAATAATTTCTGTTTGTTGCTGGCATATAGGAATGCTCATTGATTTTTATCTTTTATCCAGAAACTTTGGAGAATTCTCCTATTATTTCCAACTTTTAAAAATTTTATTGGATTTTTGTATGTAGACAGTTATTTCAGCTACAAGTAAAAAATGGACATTTTCTTTTTTAATTTAAAATTTATTAATTTTTAATCAAAGAATAATTGCTTTACAGTACTTTGTTGGTTCCTGCCAAACATCAACATGAATCAGTCATAGGTACACATATGTCCCCTGATATTTTCTTTTTCAATTTTAATTTTATTAAGTGTGGTTGATTTACAGTGTTAATCTCTGCTGTACATCAAAGTAATTCAGTTATTTTGTTGTCATTGTTTAGTTGCTAAGTTGTGTCTGACTCTTTGCGACTCCATAAACTGCAGCACGCCAGGCTTCTCTGTCCTTCATTATCCGCCAGAGTTTGCTCAAATGCATGTTCTTGATTCAGTGATGCCATCCAACCATTTTGTCCTCTGTCATCCCCTTCTCCTCCTGCCCTCAGTCTTTCCCAGCATCAAAGTCTTTTCCAACCAGTCAGCTTTTCACATCAAGTGGCCAAAGTATTGAAGTTTCAGCTTTAGCATCAGCCCTTCCAGTGAATATTCAGGGTTGGTTTCCTTTAAAATTGACTGGTTTGACCTCCTTGCTGTCCAAAGGACTCTCAAGAGTCAGCTCCAGTACCATAGTTTGAAAACATGAGTTCTTTGGTGCTCAGCCTTCTTTATAGTCCAACTCTCACATCCATACATGACTATTGGAAAAATCATAGCTTTGACTATATGGACCTTGTTGGCAAACTGATGTCGCTGCTTTTTAATATGCTGTCAGGATTTGTCATAGCTTTTCTTCCAAGGAGCAGGCATCTTTTAATTTCATGGTTGCAGTCACTGTCTGCAGTGATTTTGGAGCCCAAGAAGATAGTCTGTCACAGTTTCCATTGTTTCCTCATCTATTTGCCATGATGTGATGGGACCGGATGCCGTGATCTTTATTTTTTTGAATGTTGAGTTTTAATTCAGCTATTTCACTCCCATCTTTCACCTTCATCAAGAGGCTCTTTAGTTGCTCTTCACTTTCTGCCATTAGAGTGGTATCATCTGCATATCTGAGGTTGTTGATATTTCTCCTGGCAATCTTGACCCCAGCTTGCGCTTCATCCAGCCTGGAATTCTATGTGATGTACTCTGCATTGAAATTAAATAAGCAGGCTGACAGTATACTCCTTTCCCAGTTGTGAAGCAGTCTGTTGTTGTTCCATATCCATTCCAAATTGTTGCTTCTTGACCTGCATACAGGTTTTTCAGGGGGCAAGTATATATATATATGAAAAGGAATACATATATATACATGGTTTATCTAACATGGTTTATTACAGGATATTGAATATAGTTCCCTGTGCACATTTACTTGGACCTTGTTGTTTCTCCGCCCTATATATAATATTATGGCTTGTGTCTGCTGATTCCAAACTCTTAACCCTCCCCCCTTCACTAATGGCTATTTACTTTCTTCCTTCAGTCCTTAAACTTTTTATTGTTTGACACACTAATATGTTCAATACAATTTGGACACAAATAGTTATAACAGGAATCTTTATCTTGTTCCTGATTTTGTTTTTCCTGACCTTTGAGTATTATGTTTGTTCCATGTTTTTGGTAGTAACTTAATCAGTTTGAGAAGTTTTTTCTCTTTCCTATTTGAGAAGAATTTTTATCGTGAATGATGTTGAATTTTATCAAAAAGCATTTTTTTTTTTGCTTCTGTTGCAATCATCTTACCTCCTTTAATTAGTATTTTCATAGTTTCTTAATGGACCACCACATTTGCACTTAAGTGATTAACTTTACTTGCTCAGTATTCTACATTGTGATGTTGAATATGCTCATATTTTTTAGGGTTTGTGCCATTTGCTAGCAGTTTTCCTTTCTCAGTCGCTGGGATAGGGTCTCCCTGTTACTTATCGTGGAAACTCTGCTGCTAACAGAGAGCCTGGCATTCAGCAGACACTCAGTTCAATGTCGAATAAAGGACAACTTCAGGAAAAGAGCGGCTCAGCCCCTGCTGTGTGCTGCCTGTTGCCTTCATCCTGTACTTTCTTTCCTTCTCAAGTACTCTGGGTGGGAAACTCTGAGACGTGATGTTTCTCCAGGGGCAGTGTGGGGGGCTGGTGGGATGGATCCCCTGAAACCTGAAACTTGGTTTTCATACATGTAATAAATTAGATATGTAAAATTACTATGTCACAGATATAGCATTATAAATAATTGCTTTGTTCTTAAAGTTTGTGAATAGGTCCTCAGAATCATCTTAGTAAGTTGTTCTTTTGGTGACTTGCAGCTGATAGAGTAGCGTGTATCTTGGTTAGTATATCTTTTTAGCATGTGATTGTTTACTTTGTTAGATTTGGGGTTTTTTTTTTTTTTTGGCTTTTTGCTGAAAGATTATCTCCCTGGTCTGCTGAATTGACTGAACCAAAAGTACTCAGAAGTGTCAAAGTACTGATAGTGTTACCATGTAAATACTACCACTGCAAATCCTGTTGTGATATGGAAATGCAGAATGTGGGGTGTGCTGTTCTGTGGGGAAGGACTCCCTGAGTTCTGGATGCTAGAAAGGCCAGATGATGTTTATGTGACTTCTGGAGGCTGCCCTGTGGTGCATCAGAGAGAAACTATCATCGACACATCTCTGCAGAGACTTGACCTTTTATTTACAGGCTGAAACAACGCAATTTTGAAAGCCAAGCATAGGCTATCAGGATATTTTAAGAATGAATTGTGGTAACAATGGCTTGGTTGCTAAGATTTTCACTCTTTCCCAAAACCCTCGATTTCTTCACTCTTCAGAGAAATAAATCGATGCTATATTGCTGGGTGTTTTTAAAAACCACATTTGAATGCTGCAACAGAACATAAGGAAATTCTTTCTAGAGCCAAATGCAACCAAAGAGTTGTTTAGAAACTGTTCACCACTGAATCCCCAGCTGAGTGTCAACCTGCCAGCTCCCAAAACACATGTGGTTGGCATTACTCTTTGGCAAGGCTTGCAGACAGGCAGTGAAACTCACTCAAAATCCCTGGGTTCATTCTTCATCCAAATATCCAGAGCATCTGGAAGAAGCACTTCCCGCTATCCCCAGTACTCTGTAATTCCCCAGTAATTTTGTTTGGGTATTTTGTATTTTAGTAAAATAGAAAACAAAGAGACTGACTAGAAGTAGAATCTGACTTCTACTAAAGCTCTCATCTACTGAACCTGGCATGCATATCTTGGTGAAAGACTGATTGTGAAATACAGTAATAATACTTAAAATTATGAATCTATAATGATCGTTTCATGTTCCTTTAAAATACTGCAGTGAGTGTTTTTCTTAAACTGAAGCTCATTTTTGCATGTGCACTGAATGATCTTGAGAGTGAGAAGGCTGGAAGCTGGCGTGGACGGCCCCCTCACCCCGCCACTGCACCGTGCGGAGCGCTGCGTGGCCCCTCCGGGTGACTGTGTGAGCAGCAGGCCTCCGGGTCCTGTGGGGGAGGGGTGATGCCGCTCAGGTGACAGGTCAGAGTCACCAGAGTCCAGGCGTCCCACGGCACTGCAGGCGCCTTTCTCCAGTTACTAAGGATCACTCACCTCTCGCAGGAATCCCTTAGAAGAGATGGAGTAGCCAGCATAGTCAACAAGAGAGGCTGAAATGCAGTACTTGAATGCAGTCTCAAAAATGACAGAATGGTCTCTGTTCCTTTCCAAGGCAAACCATTCAATATCACGGTAATCCAAGTCTATGCCCCAACCAGTAATGCTGAAGAAGCTGAAGTTGAACGGTTCTATGTAGACCTACAAGACCTTCTAGAACTAACACCCAAAAGAATGTCCTTTTCATTATAGGGGACTGGAATGCAAAAGTAGGAAGTCAAGAAACACCTGGAGTAACGGGCAAATTTGGCCTTGGAGTCAGAATGAAGCAGGGCAAAAGCTAATAGAGTTTTGCCAGGAGAAGGCACTGGTCATAGCAAACACCCTCTTCCAACAACACAAGAGAAGACTCTACACATGGACATCACCAGATGGTCAACACCGAAATCAGATTGATTATATTCTTTGCAGCCAAAGATGGAGAAGCTCTATACAGTCAGCAAAAACAAGACCGGGAGCTGACTGTGGCTCAGATCATGAACTCCTTATTGCCAAATTCAGACTTAAATTGAAGAAAGTAGGGAAAACCACTAGACCATTCAGGTATGACCTAAATCAAATCCCTTATGACTATACAGTGGAAGTGAGAAATAGATTTAAGGGACTAGATCTGATAGACAGAGAGCCTGATGAACTATGGACGGAGGTTCGTGACATTGTACAGGAGACAGGGATCAAGACCATCCCCATGGAAAAGAAATGCAAAAAGGCAAAATGGTTGTCTGAGGAGGCCTTACAAATAGCTGTGAAAAGAAGAGAAGCGAAAAGCAAAGGAGAAAAGGAAAGATATTCCCATTTGAATGCAGAGTTCCAAAGAATAGCCAGGAGAGATAAGAAAGCCTTCCTTAATGATCAATGCAAAGAAATAGAGGAAAACAATAGAATGGGAAAGACTAGAGATCTCTTCAAGAAAATTAGAGATACCAAGGGAACATTTCATGCAAAGATGGGCTCAATAAAGGACAGAAATGGTATGGACCTAACAGAAGCAGAAGATATTAAGAAGAGGTGGCAAGAATACACAGAAGAACTGTACAAAAAAGATCTTCATGACCCAGATAATCACGATGGTGTGATCACTCACCTAGAGCCAGACATCCTGGAATGTGAAGTCAAGTGGGCCTTAGGAAGCATCACTACGAACAAAGCTAGTGGAGGTGATGGAATTCCAGTTGAGCTATTTCAAATCCTAAAAGATGATGCTGTGAAAGTGCTGCACTCAATATGCCAGCAAATTTGGAAAACTCAGCAGTGGCCACAGGACTGGAAAAGGTCAGTTTTCATTCCAATCCCAATGAAAGGCAATGCCAAAGAATGCTGAAACTACTGCACAATTGCACTCATCTCACACGCTAGCAAAGTAATACTCAAAATTCTCCAAGCCAGGCTTCAGCAATACGTGAACCAAGAACTTCCACATGTTCAAGCTGGATTTAGAAAAGACAGAGGAACCAGAGATCAAATTGCCAACACCCACTGGATCATCGAAAAAGCAAGAAAATTCCAGAAAAACATCTACTTCTGCTTTAATGACTATGCCAAATCCTGTGACTGTGTGGATTGTAACAAACTGTGGAAAATTCTTCAAAAGATGAGAATGCCAGACCACCTGACCTGCCTCCTGAGAAATCTGTATGCAGGTCAAGTCTGATGTTAAAACATTCAATTAACATCTGTGGGGGAGGAGCCTTTAGCACCCAAAGACTCAATGAGGTTAAATAGGGAGAATTCTTTTGAGTGGAGTCTTCTAGAGCCAGGCTAGATAATGCTTTCCCTTTGGATAAGACTTTCAAAGATCTGCAGCCACATTCTCCTCCCTCTGGTATGGGAATGCATGCTGTTCTTATTTTTCGACGCTGCCACAGAACTGGGGAGCAGAAGGTGAGACTCAAAATTGAGCTGTTATTCTTGACTAAATGTTTCCATAATTGATACAAAGTGAAAGTGAGTGAAGTTGCTCAGTTCTGTCGACTCTTTGTGACCCCATGGACTGTAGCCCACCAGGCTCCTCCATCCACAGAATTTTCCAGGCAAGAAAACTGGAGTGGGTTGCCATTTCCTTCTCCAGGGGATCTTCCTGACCCAGGGATCGAACCCGGGTTTCCCGCACTGCAGGCAGACGCTTTGCCATCTGAGCTGCCAGGAAAGCCCATAAATGATACAAGCCTTTGGTTAATTTCCAGAATACTAACAAAGTGGATTTTGACAAATTTTATAGTTAGTTTTTGTTTGCTTTTATGGAGAGGCAAACTTCTGGATGTTCTTACTTTGCCATTTTCGCTGGCATCACCACCATCAAATTTTTAATGGAAGGTCAGGGGCGGAGATTCTGCAGAACCCATGATGTGAAGGAACCATCATGTAAGATTTCTAATAGTGATATGAATCATTTCTCTTTACTTGGTCAAGAGCAAATTGCTTTAGCTTTGCTGTTATTTGCCTTAGGAAAAAACGTAATATTTCAGTGATTTGACGTGATATGAGCAGCAAAATCATTTTTTATTCTTTATTTCAGGGACTTTAATATAAAATGGTCTTTGAATTTAAATTCTGTTGTTGAGAAGAAAGAATTGGGAGAAACTCTTGAGATTTTTGTTGTTGTTAGAGGCTCCTGCCTTGAATAGTATTGCGAAAGACTGCTCTTATTAAGTGATATTAAAACAATGCCTGTTTTCTTCTTGTTTACATTTTCAGGGCACCTTTGATGATTACTTGGAGTTATTCCTGCAGTTTGGTTATGTGAGCCTTTTCTCCTGTGTTTACCCACTGGCAGCTGCCTTCGCTGTGCTAAATAATCTCACTGAAGTTAATTCAGATGCCTTAAAAATGTGCAGAGTCTTCAAACGTCCATTCTCAGAACCCTCAGCCAGTATTGGTGTATGGCAGGTAATTATTTGAGAAAAAATTATATTTTAAAAAAATTTAAAAATGAAGCATTGTGATTTTAAATAAAAGCTCTATGGAGAGTTCTGGAAAAGTACCATCCAGTAATAGAATCTAATCCATGTTATGGAACTTTCTACTCAACAATAGTAGAATATACTTTCTTTTCGAGTGTTTATAGAACATGCAACAATATGGACCATCTGCTGGGGCATAAAACATACTTCAAAATTTTTAAGAATTGAGCACAATGTGCTCTCTGACCATGATGGAACCAAATTGAAAATCAGTAACAGAAAGATGATAGGAAAATCACCAAACACTTAAAAACTAAACACCGCATTTGTAAATAATCATGGGTGAAAGAGAAAGTGTGAAGTGTGAGAATTGTCTCTTCTTTCTTATTAGTCTTGTTAGAGGTTTGACAATTGATCTTTTCCAAGGAAGAACTCTTTGTTTCATTGATCTCTGTTATTTTACTGCTTTCAATTTCATTGATTTGTACTCTTATCTTTATTATTTCCTTCTTTCTGATTCTTTTGTGTTTACTTTGTTCTTTGTTTCTAGTTTCTTGAGTAGGAGCTTAGACTATTGATTTGAGATTTTTCCTCTTTTCTGGTATATGCCTTTAGTTCTACAAATTTCTTTGTTAGCACTGCTTTACTTGTATTCCTAAAAGTTTGATATGCTGTGTTTTCATTTTCAATCAGTTCTTTGTATCTTTTGGCTATATATCATCTTGAATGAAATAGACCAGTTTCTCCAAAAGTACAAACTACCACAACTCACTCAATGTGAAATAGGTAGTTTGAGTATCCTCAGAATTACAAGGAAATTGAATATGTAATTAAAAATTCCCAAAAAAGAAATGTCCTGGCCCAAGTGGTTTTACTGGCAAATTCTAACATTTAAAGCGAAATTGACATCAATTTTACATAATTTGTCCTAGAAAACAGAGGAGGAAGGAATACTTTCCAATTTATTCTGTGAAGTTAGTGTGGTGGTATATCAGGACAGAGAATGAAAGAAGATAACAAACTAATGTCTATTGTCAATAAATACATAGAACAACTTTCAGTTTGGTTTAGTCGCTCAGTTGTGTCCAACTCTTTGCGACCCCATGGACTGCAGCACGCCAGACTTCCCTGTCCATCACCCTCCAGGAGCCTACTCAAACTCATGTCCATCGCGTCAGTGATGCCATCCAACCATCTCATCCTCTGTCGTCCCCTTCTCCTCCCACCTTCAATCTTTC